GTGGATGTCACGGTGTGTACGGAGGTCATCTAATCAGGACAGCCTTCGTGTCTTTAAGAGTACACAGGATATGGGCACATCTTGGAGCCGGTCTGATAGGAGAGCTGCTGTATCTGTAACCCTGAAGCATAGAAGCAAGCTGCATGGAGTTCAAGACATGGATGGCGTGTCAGTTTCTGATACGGACAGCTAAGCATCCACATGATGCAACACAGACTCAGAAGGTATAAGAAGCAGGTGATGACGTTGTTCGGGGCTCAAACTTTGCCGGACGCTTGCGGACGTGATTTTTGAGACCACAGCTGTGCATAGCTCGAAGCATTTTTTCTCTGTCCTGTAACGACCTGATCTGGAATCTGGAAGAGTAGTAAATAACTTGCTCCCAGGAAAAGAACCAGTGAGGAGGCCCCCGGGGCGCTACAGCCTTTACTTCCAAGGGGACAAATCCTCCTCACTTTAACAGGAGTCATTAAGGTCTTTATTGGAATGCAAAACCTGAAAATGGCCCATGCCTCTGTAATGGGGACGTCAGGGTTGTTATTGGCCTGGTTTAACAGGTGTGATTTTTGACCACCTGCATGGCAATGAGGATTGAGGACATAGCGGGAAGGAATCAACCCTATCGCTGTGTTATAGGTTTATGAGAGCTGAAACCACCTTTGTTTAAGATTGTTTTTTCTCTGTTAATGGCTTCCTTCACACCCCTTGTGCACAATTGATATTCAGGAAATGCGGCTCCTTCCTGCTGGTATCTATATGTGTTTACCGGTAAATTATCAAACATAAGATTGCTGGTAAAGATTCTCAGTCATCAAGGTCATTGTCATTCCAAAAAAAAAGAGTGGACCAAAGCAAAGCCTTGTTTTGGCTTAGAAAACATGCAAATTGAACCTGGCGAGGGAGTCCACCCCTTTGGAATGGGGGTTGTTTTGTTTCTCTGTTAGCCTGTAATGCCCGGTACCTGTCTATATCTCTGAAAGGGAGGTTGTTAAAGGGAATTGTTGGCCTGTTAAACAGGCAAGGTGTTTTGTTCCCCTGTAACTTTTTGTCCCCTATGCAGGAATACAGTAAAAAAGCAAAGTTAAACATTTCTTATTTTCAACATTATAATTTTTTCACTAAAATTGTATTCATTACCTCATCGCTATTCATCTTTCACAGCCACTGGAATCGACCAAAACCAAAACTTTTTCTGAGTTGCTGTTTTTTTTATCAATCATATATTGTTGAATGTGGGCATGTAGAAGGACGACCATGAGGTGGAGCCTTGGACCTCAACTTTAAAACTCTTTAAAACTTTTCAAACTTAATAATACC